TCTCTAATCAATTAAAAAAATAAAACAAAAGGTTTTTGCTAGCAAAGGAAATCATCAACAAAATAAAAAGGCAATCTACTAAGTGGGAGAGTATGTTTGCCAATGATACATCTGATAAGGGTTAATATCCAAAATTTATAAAGAATTCATACAACCTAGCCCCCAAAACAAACACAAAAACAAATAATTTAATTAAAAAAATAGGCAGAGTACCTGGATAGGTATTTATTCAAAGAGGCCATAGAGATGGCCAACAGACATATGAAAAGATGCTCAAGGTCACCAACTTCACACCTGTCAGAATGGCTATGATCAACAAATCAACAAACAAGAGGTGTTGGTGAGAACATGGACAAAGTGAACCCTTGTGCAGTGTTGGTGGGACTCAAATGGGTATGGCCAGTATGGAAAGCAGTATGGAGGGTCCTCAAAAAATTAAACATGAAACTTTTGTGATGCAGCAATTCCACTTCTGGGCATTTATCCAAAAAAATTCCAAACACTAATTTAAAAAGATATATGTATGCATTCCTATGTTCATTGAAGCATTACTTACAATATCCAAGATGTGGAAGCAACCTAAGTGCCCATCAATAGACAATTGGATAAAGTTGTGGTACATATATACAGTAAAATATTACTTGGCCATAGAAAGAATGAAATCTTAACCATTTGTGACAACACGGATGAACCTAGAGGGAATTATGCTAAGTGAAATAAGTCAGACAGACAAAAGAAAAACACCATATGATTTCACTTATATGTGTGATCTAAAGAACAAAATAAACCGACAAACAAAACAGAAACAGACTTACAGAGAACAAACATGGTTGCCAAATGGAAGGGGACTTGGGGGGCTGAGTGAAAAGGTGAAAGGATTAAGAAGTACAGATTGGTAGTTACAGAACAGTCACAGGGACGTAAAGTGCAGCATAGGGTATACAGTCAATAATATCTAATAACTATGTACGGTGCCAGGTGGGTACTAGAATTATTGGGGGAATCAATGTAAATTATATAAATATCAAACCATTATGCTGCATACCTGAAATTAATATAAAATAATATTAGATGTCAACTTTAATTTAAAAATAAAAATAACTGAAGTTCAGATGAGTGGTTTTCCTTCGAGAGAGAGAGAGCGATGTGTTTGAGGACTAGCACAGATGTTGAAAGGCATTCCTTATTGTTCAAAGTTTTAAATGGAGGGATTACACATGGATGTTTATCATATTTTAATATCATGTTTATGTAAGGTCCACTATCTATGATGGTTTGACTAATGATTTTTCAACTTTACAATGGTACAAAAGTGATACACATTCAGTAGAAACCATACTTCAAATTTTGAATTTTCATTTTTTCCCCGCTAGTGAGATGCAGTATGATATTGTCCTTGATGCTGCACACCGTGGTCAGCTGATGGAAGTGCCCTGAGCCTTTAAGTTAGGCTAGGCTAAGCTGTGATGTTCAGGAGGTTAGGTGGGTTAAATACATTTTCCACTTACAATATTTTCAGTTTACGATGGATTTATCAGTAAGCAACCCCATCGTAAGTTAAGGAGCATTATGTATTTATGGTGTTTATTTATATTTTCTCCTGCATATATAAAATATTCCACCCTAAAGAGAAAGAACATTGAAGAAGCAAAATCAGCAAGGGGTTGACTGGCGTTGTCCAGCCCCAAGTACGTGCCTGGGGTAGATCCGCGCAGAGTCTCAGAGTCGGGGTGCTGAGGACGCTGTGCAGTGCATTGGAAGCTGCAAACTCCAGAAAGAATGAAAGGGCTGTGGTGGGTCAGAAATGAGGAGGAACTGCGTGGCGGCGGCGGCAGGCGGCACCCAGCTCTGCGCCCGGGGCCTGGAGCCTGCGGTGAGGGGGGACGGTGGGAGGCCTTGTGCTGCAGGCAGGGGGAGCCATGGGCACGGTTGCTGTTTCCAGGAAGTGTGAGTGCAGTGAGGTGGGGACTGTCAGGAAGAAGAGCCCTTCAAGCTGAGGCTGAACAGAAGGTGGCAGCGAGGAGCCAGGGCATCTCGCGAACTGGGGAGGGCCTGTGCAGCAGGGTCATACACTGCCAGGGGGCACCAAGACACGGAGGCCGTTGATGACCTGTCTAGAGCCCTTTCATGGAGATAAGGCAGGGGCCAGACTGCACTGGAGGGACAGTGACTCAGGAGGGAAATGAAGTCAGGAGTGGAGACAAGTCTCAGAAGTTTGGCTGAGATGATGAGGAGCAGCAGCGGGAAGAGACACGAGGCATTTTATCAAACTTTTAAAATGCTCTTTTAAAATTCTTAATCTAGTTTAGCCCCAGTAAGGCAGAAAGAAGGGTGTCTCAGACCTTCCCACCATGCTGGCAGCTAAGCACAGCGGGTATCCACTGGGGCTGAAGCATGGGGTACAGTGGCATTGGGGAGACAGCATGCTGTCTGCTGACCAACTTGTTTAAAACTGTTGTTAGGTGTGATGGGGAAAGGTAACAGAAAGCAAACTGACATTTAGTCATTTTTATTCTATTTTTTAAGTTCTCTACAGACAACACACCCCTTCTTGCCTGCCTGCGCTGGACAGACTGCTCCTACCACCTGGCCCCTGCTGTCACCAGTGGGGCAGGGTTGGTCTCCAGGACCTGGGTGTGCATGTCGACTCCTTCACCTTCTAGTTGACTGGTCTGGGACAAGTTCCTGACCCTCCTTGAGCCTCAGTGCCCTTTGGCTCACTGGACTTTGGGCTAATTCTTACCTCATCGGTGTTACTGTGAGGATGGAGGGAGCTAATAGGTCAGCTCAAGGAGCAGAGCACGCAGGAGCTGCTTACTAAGTGTCCTTTTGGAGACAGGGAACTGAGAAGGCGGTGACTGGTGTTGCCCACCCCCCTACCCCAGAAGCTTGGCCCTGTGCAGGTGCCCGGGGTGGATCCAGCAGGGTGGACAGTGTGGTGGGTGGGGGTGAGTGTCCTTGGGCACCAGCCCAGACCCACCCCTCAGGTTGGGCTAGACCTGCAGCAATTCCTCTCATTGTGCTCAGCACAGTCGCTGTATGCAAGGGCCTCCCCAGATCCCCAAAGGCCAGGACTGTTACCAGCCCCTTTCCTCCCTCCCTGCAGTCCTCGGGAAGCACCACCGCCCTGGCCGCAGTGGGCAGTTGTCATGGGGATGCTGGGCCTGCTGAGCTGCCTCCTTAGCAACAGGATTCCCAGGTCAGTTCCCATGGAAACAGCATCCATTCAGCAATCAGTGATGGGGATCGGATTCCCTGCCCTTTCTGAGGACTTTCCTCTCTAGCATGAAGGCCAGGCAACACAGCACTCCCTGTGCCACCGGGAGCCCCAGGGACTTGGCTTTTTCAACCACAGGCCGCTGCCTCTCCCCTGCTGGGTAAGGTCCCAGGGCCCATAGGGACCTTCTGCAGCAGCCAGGGTGGCAGAGGCTGGGGTCTGAGGGCTTCACAAGGGGTCTGGGGCCAGGCCTAGCATCCTCCCCATTGCAGTGGGGAGTGGACACCACACCTCCTAACAAGACCCCGAATTCAGAGTAGGCACTCAGGTTTCCCAACCCACACAGGAGCCCAAAGGCTGTGGCTCATCCTTGGCCACTCTGAAAAGCAATTCTCTGTCCTGGTTATGGAACCCCAGCGTGGTCACCTTTTGTCCCCCAGCCATCCTTCAGCTTCTGGGGACCCATCTTATCAGGCTAAGAGGGCATCTCCCTGGTTAGCTGGGGTTCACATGCACTTTCTGGCCCTTCTCCTCCAGGGAGCACCAAGGAGTCCCAGGGACTCTGGCAGCTGTGGTGGGGTCGGAGTCAAGGTTGCCCACCTCCACAGGCTGACAAAGGACGCACACACTCTCACCAGCCCATAAACAGTGCACGGCTGCCTCATGTCCACAGTGCTCTGGGGACCTGTCCATTGCCCTCCACAGCTTGCTCCTGAGCCTCCAGTATCCCCACTGACTTCATCCTCCTTAATCCTTGGCCCCTAAAAGAAGGCAGCATCTGCTGGATTTTTTTTTATTTAAATAAAATATACAACACGGATACCGTTTTCTGTTTTAAAAGTGAAAGATTGGAAAATTGCTCGTGAGGGACTGGGGGTAGGAGGGCCCACTGACAGGACCTGGCTTCCCCAGTCTCCAGAGTGGCTGCGCTGGGTCAGAGTTCATAAAACGTGTGTGTTGGGGGTGGTGAAACCAGGCCCTGATAGCAAGGGGCGTGTGTCCTCATTCTGTGGAACCCTCTGCCCTCACTCCTGTCCCTTTCCTACACCCCCCACCCCTGCCGCTACCTCCAGGACTAGACTGTGGGTTTTGATTAAGTAACCTTTCCTTGGAGGGCAGAGGCGGGTGAAGAACTCAGATTGAGACTTCTGTTTAAATTCTTCCAGCTCGGAGAACTCTCTGGGCTGAGGGGTCTTCTGCCCAGTAAAAACCAAGGCCAGGCAGCTCATCATCTCTCTCCAAGACCCCAGGATGCTCACTTCCTTCTCTCCTGGATGACTGCCTACCACCCCTGGTGGCCCACCCCTGGATAAAGTGGCCTGTCCCACATCCCAGGACGAAGCTTGATCTTGCCAACACTCTAGCTTGGAGTATGGAGGAGAGCTCTGGATGGATAAGATGGGATCAGCCCTCCTCATTATTCAGGACTTGGTAGCCAAACCTTCTCGTACCCAATAGGAAGGGGGCAGAGCACCGAGGTTGGCCCTGGGCAGAATCTTGTTGGGAAGGAGGATTATGCCTAAAGAGCTGGTCTAATCTGAGCTGCATTCTGACTCCCACTCCAGACCTTCTGGCTCCTACCTCCTGCAGAACCAGGGCCATTCGCTGCGTAGCCTACCATCCAAGGCCTTCCCTCTAACCACCTGGCTTTGGGATCTCCTCCGAAAGTCCCCAACTCCAAATGCACACCTACCTTCATCATGTCCCCACTGATCACTGCATCCCACCCCACCTTCCTACTTCCTCCCTTCCCTTCCCCTTTCCTTCATTCCCTCCTTCCCACCTTCCTCTAACTCTTCCCACATCTCAAGTCCTGTCTGAAGCCTACCCCGGCCACATACCTTCCCTAGGCCCCTCGGGAAGCCCAGCCACCTCCTATGTGCGGAGATCGTAGTCCTGGAGCCCTCAGCCTAAGCTCCCTGGGCTCTCACCATGGCTTGCTGGAGCAATGTACTGGGTGTGAGGAGGGGCAGAAGAAACCTGACTTATTGAGCACCTACTATGGTATGTGCCAGGCACTGGGATGGGCATTTCACATACACCGCTTTTCTCTTCTGGTCCTCATTTGTCCTTGTGAGGCGGCATCATAATTATTTCTAGTTTACATATAAAGTAACAGACTCAGAAAGGTCGGATAACTAGCCCAAGATCACACAGCTAAAACAGGGCTGGGATTTGAACCAGGTCTGATTGTCTCCCAAATCTGGTCTCTTCCCTCTGCACCATGTTTGAAGACTAACAGCCCCTCTCAACAGTTTTTAATGGAAAGAACCTAGGTTTCAGCTTCAGACAGGCATGAATTCGAATCTCAGATCAGTCCCAGTTCTGCCACTCCTAATTACATGATTCTGGAAAAATCACCCCAACTCAGTTTCCTCATCTGTGAAACACGGTGAGTCATGGTCTTTGTGAAACCGAAGGAGTTGTGTGTAAAGTGCTGAGCCAGTGCTTGGCACAGAGCAGACTCAACTGGAAGTTCCCGCACCTCCCACTGTCCTGACAGGGAACCCAGGGCCACAGAGGAGACAGGATGTGCTTGAGGACCAGCAGGAGGGCACAGCTCAGAGTCCTCTGCTCCCACGTGGTGAGAGGTCAGGCTAGGATTGGCTATGAAACCCGAGATGGGGAGACAGGAGGCCTGCTGAGAGGTCTTGGGGTGCTCTTCCCTGAGGAAGAATACTTCCCCCAGACCTTATGGTGCCCAGCCTGAGGGCTACGGTGGGCTGCTGATGTAAGGTGGCCTGGGTGTCCTGGCAACATGGGGTTAAACTAGATTGCACATATGTGTGCACACATGTGAGTGGCTAGCTACATGGCTCTACAGAGTGCTTACATAGATTGTACATATACATATCTTACATACATATACATATACATTTCTTGCTAAGTTTGCAGTACAAAATAATGCAAAATTCTCAGGACCCTGGCCCCATTTTAATCCAAGGATTCAGGTGATTGAGGCTCCCCAGTAATACACCCAAGGGCAGCCCCTCCATGACCCTCAGCAGAGTGAGACACCAAGTTCACAGCTAAGGGGCTGGTGGTGGCTGTTGCCCTAGAACAAATACATGACAGGTCTGCTCTAAGAACCCCAAACATGGGTAGCCCCTCACCCCTGCCAAGCCCCAGCAACCCCCCCAGCGTTCCTCTGGCTTTTGCATTTGGGCCTTGCCTGCCCCCCACCCCCCTCCCTCTAGTGCTGAGTATTAAAATAGTCTATAAAAGCAAGTGACCAAAAATCTATAGCTCTAAGAATACCTGGTTATTTTCTGCTGTCTTTTGTTTTTCTGGTGAGAGTTTTTTTTAAAAAAATGGTAATTATTATTGTTATTGGTATATCTCCTAAATCACAGTTAAACCTGAAGGAAGAAAGGAGAAAAAAGAAGAGAGAAAAGAGAGGGAAGAGCCCCAGCTCACAGATTGGATGGCAGTTTGGATCGTACTGGCTCAGACCTGGCCCCAGGTTCCCTCTGGGGCGCAGCAGTCAGAGGGGGCCCCCCAGAAGAGGTGGCTCTTGACCCAAACAAAGAAAGTGGAGGTGGCAAAGAACCTGAGGATGTCTTCTGAGGCAGAGTGACATGCTGGCCTGGGATGGCACTACAGGGCCTCCCAGGGGGACCGAGGCCACCACTGCCCCCGCTGCAACCCCCAGCTCTGGGGAGGAGCGGGAAGGCAGCCACAGATTCCCCAGAAGAGTGCGGGGAGGCTCTATGGAGAGTCTGCACCCCGTCCTGGGGTAGGGCCGGCTGAGAGGCTGAGATGAGCTTGAGGTCCTGGGTGAGGCGGCCTGGGGTGAGGGGTGGTGTGCCCCGGCGCTGGGGAACCTGGGGTGGGGGGGGGCTGGATACAGGTGGCAGGAGCAAGGAACCATGAGAGCCAGAAGCTCGGGGTGGGGCACTTGGGAAAGTTCTTGGGGGGCCTGGGCTTTGGCCAGGGGGGCTGAGACCTCCTCGGGGGGTAAAGGCTATAGGAGAAGCACCCCCAGAGGCCCCTGCCATTGACAGCCGCTCAGGCTGCCGTGAAGGTGTCTCTGGTGTACTTGGTGGGCCAGCAGCCAGACCTGGGGACAACTCCCCGGGAGGCTGGCCGAGCTGCCCTGGGCTGGACGATGGGGACCTGGAGGAGGGTGGGGGTGGCAGGAACTGCTCCAGGAGTCCCAGGCCTCCCTGAGCCCCTGGCAGCGGGAGCACCGGCTGGTTAGCCTGTGGGGAGTGGGCACCTGGCTGTAGTGGGGTGAGCAGGGGCGAGTCGGATGAGGACAAGGAGCCGCCTAGCGCTTTGTGGAAGTGGCCAAACCCGGCTATGGTGGTGGAAGCTGTGTTGGCGGACAGTGTGGGAGCTGGAGAGGAGTCATAGGCCCTTAAAGGTGGGGAAGACCTGGACGAAGGCAGAAGAGGGCTCAGTCCAGCGGGGGCAGAGAATCCAGCCAGCTGTTGGATGTGGAAGGAGGAGGAAGATGGTGTGTCCACCTGGGATGGGCTGCTAGTGGGCGAGGCAGAGCCCAGAGCAGAAGGGATCAGAGACTGCAGGCGCTTTAGATGCCTGGGTGTCTGCCCCGGCCCAAGGCTGCTGAGCTTGGGGCCTGGGGGAGGGCGGAAGACGGCAGCGGGCAGGCGTGGGTGGTGAGTGAGAGCTATGGCCACAGAGGTGGTGGCAGCAGCGGCCTGGAGCGGTGCCTGGATCAGTGGAGTCCAGATGACAGGCGTGGGCGTTGGGGTGGCAGAGGTGGCTGCCTGGACACGGTGCGCACAGTGAGCCATCTCCCGGTCATGCTGCACAATCTGCTGGATGATCTCATTCTCCTGGTAGTTGAAGACACCTGAGTTGAGGTCATGCTGGACTTTGTGGAGGAGGATGGAGTTCTTCTTGCCTGGGCCACAGGAGGAGAGCAGGGGCTCAGGCCACAGCAGGCGACAAGGAGCCTGGCCCACCTCCCCTCCGCCCTCTTGCCCAGTCCCCTCACCAATGCGGTCCAGGCGGTCCAGCGCCACAGTCTCAAAGGCCCGCCTCATCATGGGGTACTCCTCCAGCACCTCATTGAAGTTGTCCACACTCAGTGAGTATAGGCGGCAGTAGGTGTCGGCCCTCACACTGGCCGTGCGCCGGCCCCGCGTCAGCAGACAGATCTCTGCCGGACAGCAGGGGTCAGGGAGGCTTCCAAAGGGCCTCCACCCCCCCTGACCTAAGTCCCCACTACCTAGTATGCTTACTGGACACATACATTCACAAGTCCCCCATCCCATGCCACCTCCTCCTGCACCAAATGGGTGGTAGGTTATCTTTACCATCTCTGGGGCCATCCCCCTAGACTGGGCTCACAGACACCCATCTCCAGGCAGTGGCCATGAAGGGCCCAAAATATTTCCCTCGGTGTCTTTCCAGCACACTCCCCTGTCCCCTCAGGGCCCTATGGCTGCCTTACCTCCAAAGTAGGAGCCATCTGCCAGCTTGGTCTCCTTGTTGCCTTTGGTGAGCACGCTGACCACACCGTGCTGGATAAAGTACATCTTCTTGCCGATGGTGCCTTCGCGGATGATGTAGTCGCCTGGCTGGAACACCTCAAAGCGCAGCTTAGTCAGCATGGATGTCACGAAATTAGGGTCTGCATTGGCAAACAGTGGCATGGAGGCCACCAGCTTCCGGCAGTTAAAGTTGATGATCTCCTGCTCCCCAGACAAGGTGGGTTGGGGAAGAGGGAGGAGGTGAGTGGAGTCGTGGCAGAAACGACGAGCTCCTTCCCTGCCCAGCGCCCACCCAGCTCACCTCCCGCAGAGGCTCACTGAGCTCGCCCAGGATGCTCTCCTCGTCGAACATCTTTCCCTGGTAGCGGTGCTCGTAGTAGTCATGGATGCGCTGCCGAGTGTCGGGTGGGAGCTTGTGGAAGGACATGTACTGCTCCACCTGCTTGTACTAAGTCCGGGGACAGAGGGAGAGGCCATCACCTCTTGGCCGGCCAGCCCCACTGCCCTGGCTGGCACCACCCGACCTGGGCCCTGCCAGTGACCAGAGTTGGCGTTGACCCTGTGGGCCCACTTGGATGACCTTAGCTCCTTGAGTTTGGGTCCTCAGTGTGGTTGTGGTCACACCATGTCCCAAACAATGGCCCTGACTGCCAGTACTGGGGTGGAGGAGGAGCTTCATAGTGCTCAATACTATGGAGACAGCCAGGGACAACAAGGACTGTCTACAGCCCAGTACAAGAGGCCAAGTGACCAGGAAGTCAATAAAGTGTCCTCTAAATATCTGTCTTTTCTGTTACACTGTGGACCAGAGAGGCGTCACTGATGGAAGGAGCCCTTCCCACCATGGAAACACCCCGGCAGAGCAGCAGAACGGGCTGCCATGGGTTACATGCTGCAGGCTGAGGCCAGGAGGTCAGCCATCATGTGACATGTATTCCAGTGTGGCCCAGGCTGAGGCTAAGGCACTTTGTTGAAAAGCAACTCCAGGCCAGGGAAGGGGCCGGGTAGAGCAGGAACCTTAAACACGTTTAGAATAGACACCGCTGAGCCTGTCCACCCTGGGGGTGCTGTTCCAGCCGGCTCTGGATTGTGGGTGGAAAGTAGGGATCAGGAGCATGGCTAGGGACCAGAGACACTGATTGGGCAAGAATGGATTTTCCCCAGACTGGGATGCAAGGGAAATCCCTGTACCCCAGGAACAATCAGAATAGGCAGCCTGTTCTCATGGATCAGTGTGGCAAAGAGGCGGGGACACGGCGCTGCTGACGCACTGCGGGCTTGCGGGGGCCTGGAGATGACGATTCTTATCTCTCTTCCAGCCCACCTGGCCTCCGTCTGCTCTAAGCTGTGCCCACCTATAGGAGACAGTGACTTTCTAGTTGGCCATGGGGACAGGGGCAGCCAGAACAGAGCTGTATATTAGAAAATTTCCCACACATGGAGAATCAACTCGAGTGGGAGGCAGGGCCAAAGTTAAAAGATTGTGAAAGTGATCCAGGTGAGAGACAGTAGTGAAGACACAGGGGAGGTAATGTTTAAGAGAGATTTATAGATGAATTATATATTAAAGAGCTATTAGCTAAAGGATGAAATAAAGACAACTCTCGATGAAAAGCCACAAGCAACTTGACTCTACTAGACAGTAGACCCTGATGCCTTCTCTGAACTATCCCTAATCATGGTCTTAGACTGAGCCTCCATTCTGCTCACCCACTGAGCCCCAACCCTGGTCTTATGCTGAGCCCCAGTCCTGCTCACACGCTGAGCCCCAACCCTGCTCACACACTGAGCCCCGGTCCTGCTCACATGCTGAGCCCCAACCCTGCTCACACACTGAGCCCCAACCCTGCTCACACGCTGAGCCCCAACCCTGCTCACACACTGAGCCCTGGTCCTGCTCACATGCTGAGCCCCAACCCTGCTCACACACTAAGCCCCAGTCCTGCTCACACGCTGAGCCCCAACCCTGCTCACACACTGAGCCCCAGTCCTGCTCACACGCTGAGCCCCAGTCCTGCTCACATGCTGAGCCCCAACCCTGCTCACACACTGAGCCCTGGTCCTGCTCACACGCTGAGCCCCAACCCTGCTCGCACACTGAGCCCCGGTCCTGCTCACAGGCTGGGCCCCAACCTGGTCACAGCCTGGTCCCTGATGCTGGCTTACATGGATCCCTCACCTGGCTCCAGGAGCCCTGGCCTTTATAACCTGACTCTTCTCTCCTTCCCTTCCCTCGTCCCTCACTCCTAAGCCAGAACCTTTTGTTCTAATCAGGCTGATTTCTTTACCACCCATCTACATACCTTTGCTCATGCTCATCATAATCACTGGCCTAGAATTTTCTTCTACTTCCTCGCTCCTCTGCCTTCTCAAAATGACCTCCCCACCCTGCCCTGGGCTTTCCTCTTGGTGTCATGGGACTTAGGTTACCATCTCTCAGTCAGCTAATCAGGGGACAGCACCCGAGGCAGGCAGTCAGTCAGTTAATCATACATACTGAGCCCTACTATGTGCTGGACACTGGGAATCCATGGGCCCTGGCCTATCCACGGAGCCATGGCCTGGATAGGAAAGATGGATAGTAAACAATTGGCTACATATAATTAATTAAATGATGACAGAAATGTGAAGTGTGATGGAGGAGAATTTGAGGGTACCACTGGGTCACATGATGAGCAGGGGCTGACCAGGTCATGAAAGGCTTCACCAAGGAGGTGACATTTAGGCTGAGATGTGGAGAAGGGGTCAGGTGAAGAGAGAGAGTTCCGGGCTAGCATCTGTGCCCAGGCACCGAGCCAGGAGGGAACATGCAAGGAGGTCTGGCAAGGCTGGAATAGGGGGCTACAGAGCTCATGGCATGTTCTGAACATGAGAAGGGAAGGGCCCTTATGTGCCAGGCTGAGAAAACACACTCGAAGTTCATCTGCATCTAGGGGTAACAAAAAGGCTCTAAGCAGTGATATGATCAGGTCTGTATTTTTTAAATGCCACTGCTGTCCGCTGCCTGGAGAATGACATGGAAGGAGCAGACGGAAGCTCACTTAGCTGACAAATACTGCATGGCTTACTCAGTAGGGATATGCCTCACAAACGCCATGATGTAGGCCCTCGCATTGTCCCCATTTTACAGACAAGCAAATGGGACTTAGAGAGCTGATGCCACATGCCCATGCCCGACCGGGAGCTCGTCAGTGGGGAAGCTGGGCTTAGAACCTAGGCAGCCCTGCTCACTCCAGTACAGCCATTTGCTCAAGAAGATGCTGCAGTGATCCAGCTGGGATGGCGGGAAGGGAGGGAGGCATTAATGACTAAGAGACATCAAGGATGGCTCCTACTTTCTGGCCTGGACATCTGTGCTACTGTGTCTAGTAACAGGATGGGCAAGAGTGGAGGTCTGAAGCAGAGAAGGCAAGGAAGAGTGTTCTTAATTTAGACAAGATGAGACTGAGGTGTCCAAGGAGGCATCAAACAGTCTGGGGCTGAGGAAAGAGGAGGGGGTTCATATTAACATTTGGACCCACTGCCTAGAGGTGGACATGGAGCATGAGGATGAGGGTGGTGAACCAGTAGCACCCAGGAAGACAGGAGAGACAGAAAAGCAGACAGCTAAGCCCAAACCACCAGGGGCTCAATATATGATGACTGAAAAGACAAGCAGCCAAGGAGCCAGGAGGACTGGACTGTGAGGAGGAGGAGAGCTAAGTGTGCCGTTACAGACACCGAGTGCAAAGCCAAGAAGGGGATGATAACTGTCCAATGAAATGCCCTGAGACTCCAAGCAAGATGCGGACCCAAAAGGATCTACTGGCTTTAGCCACACAGAGGGCATTGGTGAACCCAGATTCACTGGGCTGAGATATGGATTCAGTACCCATGAACAATGTGGGACTTCTGTTTATTTTAGAAAATTTTTTAAAAGAAAGAAAAAGAGACTGCAACAGAAAAGATAGCAGCTGAAGCCAGATGATAGTGGCAGGCTGGGCACATGGGGGACTGGTGGAGACCCACTGGCTGGAGACTGCTCCCTGGGGGACCTACTGCGGGTTCTCCTGAGACAGCCCAGGGTGGCCCACAGCTTTCTGCCCTACCTTCTCCTGGTACTGGCGTCGGGAGGAGTCCAGGGACTGAATGAGGGCAGTAGCGTGGCCGATGAACATGGCGTAGCAGGTGGCGCCCACAATCATGCTAAGCATGGTGAGCCAGACGTCGGACATGCCCACGGGTGCCTGCCGTCCATACCCGATGCACAGCATGTGGCTCATGGCCTTGAACAGGGCGTAGGAATACTGCTTTCCCCAGGAGTTGTTCTGTGGACAGGTGCACAGGTAGGCAGACATGTGGTGGGGTGGCAGTGAAGGCTTACCCCAGTGAGAGGACAGGCCTTCTCACCAGCACCTAGAAAAGTCCCACTACCCCCCTTCCCCCACCACCAACCTCTTCCCCAGCTGTTGAGCCCAGGGCCTCCACCTTGCTGGTGGCTGAAAACCGTGAAGAGGGGCCAGGAGGCCCACAGTGGCAACCTGTGTGAATGAGTGAACTACTCACTTAGGCCCGTCTCTTGCAGTGGGTGACAGATTGGCGGGAAGCTCCAGCAAAGGGATAGGAGGCAGTGACGCCCCCCATCTGATCTCTCAGCCCCCACAGGGCAGCCTGGGCCTCTTGAGCAGCAAAAGGTTTCAAACTGAGCCACTCGCTGTCCTCTGCTTGCTAAAATAGTTCCATCCCCCCACCCCAAACTACTGCCAAGTAAAGCCCATTTCCCCACTGACCTCAATTATAAAAGCAGATATGCTTCCCCTGGGGGGACGAGCTCTCAGACTAAGCCAACAACACTGTCCTCATTTTGGGTGAGCAACATCTAAAACTGAGCATGCTTGCTTCCTGCCTGCCTGCTGCCTCTGTCCAGGGCTGTGGCCACCAGTTATCTTCCCCCCACAAAAGATGGATTATCTGGAACACACAATGCTTAGGGGTGCAGGGAGGGAGAGAGGCAACTGGCTATTTTTGTCTCCAAAGCTAGTTGGTGTCTCAAGGAAGCCTCAGTGTGGGAGCACTGGACTCAGAAGGGTGATCTCCTGAATTTAGTGCATGTGTGGGCCTGTCACCCTCACATGGAGGGAACTGTCCCAGATGAGGGGGCCACCAGATGAACCACAGTGCTGGCCACCTCCCCAGTGCCTCTCTGTCCACACAATGAATGTGTGAGCAATGATGTGGAACCCGACCTACTGCATGACACACAGAACCCCTGCCCAGAGCCTTCCAGGGTCACCAGGCTGCTCCCAGCACCTGAAGGAAGGCACAGGGACGGCATGCCATGTTCAAGGTCACTGAGACCATACTGGACAGGGCAGAGCTCAGTCCAAACCAGGGTGGGACATCTCGGGGGAAGGGGTGGCTGATCTCCAGGGGTGGAGGAGGCCTGAGTGCTGGGGGGACAGGGAAGACCCCCAGCTGCCTCTAGTCAGGGTTTCGACCCTTACTGCTCAGCCCCTAGGGACTCGGAAATTTAATCCATATGGCTGGTTCATTTACATTGAGCTCATCAAAAGGCTGTTTTGTACAGGCCTACTTGATGCTGAAAGATGCCTTGGGGTCTCTTACTTCTTTCAAAGCTGGCTTCTCCTATCCTAGGGCCCTGGGAATCTGCCTACAGACCAAACCAAACTGACTGGGAGGAAGAGGAGGGGAACCTGGGGTTCCCAGACTCAGAAAGAGGTTCACAGTTCCAGGGGGTCCTCCATCCCTCCTGGAGCCCACCCTGTCCGCGGGGGCACTGGGGCTCTGCCCTATGGCTGCCCTAGCCTCAATTCCAGCTTCTCTCCCCCACCCGCAGGTCTAGAAGGGATCAGGCTCAATCTGATCGGCCTTCCCCACTCAGCACCCTACATGTGACCAGCATGTGTGTACATGGGGTGGGGAAGAGGGAGTGACAGGGACAGGGGGACAGTCCAGCTGTACTGCTGGTGCAGAAAGTAGCCACCGTGTGTGATCTGAGAGTCTATGCCTGCCTCCAACAGTGCCCTCACAGGGTTCTCTTTTCTTGGGCTTTTAAAGGTTGGTCTGCCTCTGGAGAACAGAGGCAGGCGGGCAGGAGCCACCATCCCAGCTCTGCCACACCTGAAATATTCCAAGGACCCCAGGTCTTAGTTCCCCTGGGTGAAATCAGGTCCAAATATCCAGGCTCCCAACTGCAGTGAGGAGTTCCAAGCTGTGAACCTGCTCTGCCCCTCTGTACCTCATTGGCCCCCTCTGCCTGCACCCAGGGTCCGGGTGGGTGCTCACCACCATGTTGTTGATGGACACCCAGCAGTCGTCGGGGAAGTCCTGCAGCATGGGGACCAGGAACTGCAAGCAGCCATCCCAGTGGCAGAGCAGGAGCATCATGCCGATGAGGTTCACGATGCGAACCACAGCGCTGGCCAGGTCATAGGTCATGTGGAAGATCTGTCGGCAGAGGTGAAGACATTGGCCCAGAAAGGTGAGTGACCAGGAGGGGGACACCCCCTCCCAGTCAGACCCAGCAGCACTGCTCTGCACGCATGGCAGGGGCCCAGCTCAGTTCGGGTCCAGGCTAGAGTGGGAAGGCATCAGTCGGGGCCTAGGAGAAGCAGAATGCTGACTGCAGAGGGACGCCTCCTGGGACCTGTGCAGGTGTGTGTGTGGGTCCTCCCATGGGAAGTCCAGCCGTCCAGGGTTTCTCACATCTTTCAGAGTGGCTTCTCCTATCCCAGGGCCCTGGGGGTTTGCCTATAGACCAAACCAAACACACTGGGAGGAGAAGGAGAGAGCCTGGGGTTCACAGACCTGGAGGGAGGACAGCACCTGGAGCCCCTACAGCCCTGAAGTAGGCAGAGAAATTGCTGTATCAGCTCATCTAGGCAGAGACAACAGGGAGAAGAGACAGCCAGCCTGAGGCTCTTCAGAGGACCAGCCTCATGATAGGGGCATGGTATTTCCCCAAATCAGTCACTGGACCCTTAGGGCTCCCCCAGGGACAGTGGGCTCTGCCTAAGGCAGCCATGAAACTGTAAGAGAGCCGCCGGGACACAGGCTCCAAGTTCACAGACTTGGATCTCAGGCCTACTTCCTACTCAATTCCCAACTGTGCAACCTTCAAAAAGTCCATGAACCTTTTTGATCATGTTTCCTCATCTGGAAAATGGCAATAAAAATTCTTACCTGAGTGGGCTATCTAAAGAATTAAATTATACTTATAAAGTGCTTAGTATTGGGTGTAGAAGTGTTCAATAAATTGCAAACCATTATTGATAAGTTGTTATTAATAATTAATCTTTATGCCCGGCAGGTGTAGCTCAGTGGTTGCAGGTCAACCCATGCACCAAGAGGTCCTCAGTTCAATTCCTGGTCAGGGCACATGCCCAGGTTGTGGGCCCGATCCCCTGTGGGGGGCATGCAGGAGGCGGCCAGTCGATGTTCTCTCTCATCGAAGTTTCTCTCTCTCTCCCCCTTCCTCTCCCTTCCTCTCTCTCTAAAATCAATAAAAAAAATTTTTTTATAAAAAGTAATCTTTATGAGTAGTTAATGGGTATTAGTAGTAAAACTCTCCTGTACAGGTTAGTAAAGTTCAGTACTCTCCACCCCAGCCCACTGCCACCCATCCATCTTTAGCCCTGTGGCTCCAAACAAGAGGTTGGGCAGGGCCAAGGGTGGGCACATCCCAGCATTCATACCCCACCTCCCTTCCCCCAGTGCTGCCTCTTGATCCAGCTTCAGCAGGGAGCACATGGTGACCAGACAGTGAGGGCTGGAGAGAAGGAAGAAAGTCTGGAGGGGGGTCTCTGGAAGTCCTGCCCTTGCCTCCAGCCTGAGACTGTGGAGTGTGGCCTCACTCCAGGTCCTGGCCCTTCCACACTATTCCCAGGCAGAGCAACTTGCCTAGAGGGAGGTCTTCGGGCCAAAAGTAGGTTGTCAAGTGCCTGTAAGTTTAAGAACTAGTTTAAGCTCATTTCATATAGGGAAACTGAGGCCCAAAGAAACAGATCCTAGATATTTCAACCCCTGTCTAGTGGTCTTCTAGCCCTGTAGCTGGTGGCAGGATATTCTGATACTAGTGACCTCAGTTTCCTCTTCTGAAATGTGGACTTAGCCTAGGCCTAGGTTTGGTCTGAACAACCGAAGATGAATACTATTTTTCCATCACCCACAGGGGCACACCCTCCTGTGGCCCCCCTTAGTAGCAGGACTCTGGACACTGCAGCAGAAATGCTGTGAAGTCTTCAGGATGAAATGGACCTTGGAGGCTGGCAGCTCCAACTTGTCCCATCACCCTCCATGGCCCAGTGACAAAGGGACAATAACATCACACCCGAAGGTGGGTGTGAGGTCCCACAGTCATCATCTCACTTAAACTCACAACAAACTTTGCTGAACATACTGTTAACTCCTCTTACACCAAGGCCCAGAGAAACAGAGGACTTGCCCACAGTCGTAGTGGCAACAGAGGCAGATCTGAACTAGGGCTGGTTGCAGATTATCAATCAGACTGGCTCAGTGAGAGAATGGTGGTTTTCAGTAGTTCCATTTTGCAGATAAAACAACTTAAACCCAAAGTGCCCGGGCTATATGGCCAGATTCAAATGGCAAGCTGGATCCAGGGCCAGGTGGGACTCTTCGGCGTCTGGCCTCAATCAGCCAGTGCACAGTGTGATGCCACCAGGGGTGGGGAACGTCTGGCCCATGGAACGTATAAGGCCCGCAAAATCAACACCAACTAACACCACACGCCTCACCAAACAGCCTGACCAAATATAGCAGGCTAGTTTTTATGTTGATACTTTTGTATGGCCCCCAAATGATATTACAAATATCAAACTGGCCCTTGGCAGAAAGAAGGTTCCCCACCTCTACTACAGACAGAGCACTGTGACCTGCAATCCAGCCCCACTGGGGCTCAGGAACCAGCCCAGGGCTGTGATGGGCCAGTTCCTGGCTAAGTTGACACATCTCAGTGTAAGGAGTGGTGGGCACTGGAGATCAGGCAGGGCAGTTTGGGACAGTAGCCAGAGCTCAGTAGGGACTGGGGCCTGTGTCTGGGATGCAAAGTATACCCAAGCATGATGCTGGTGTCTCTGGCCAACCCTCTGCTGCTGGCAGTGCCCCAGGGCTTGGATCCTGAACCGCAGAGGCTCCCTCAGCCTCTCTCCTCAATCTCACAGAAGCTCCTGAGTACTAGTACTAAGCTCTCATTGAAGGAATACGCCACTTATGCCTCTTTAGCACTTAGGTGAACACAATAGCTCTATGACCTTGGTCAAGTCATTAGCCTCTCAAGGTCTTAGTTGACTGGAATGCCATCAACTACCCCAGTGACATGGGCTCAACCATGAGGAAAGACAGTGATACTGTGGGACCAACCAGTTTCAGAGATGGCCAGCACCTGCCCTCACTTCCTACCCCATCTCAGCCTCCCTTAACTAAGAGAAGCTAGATATCTGCCTACAACTCCACAAGGTGGCTAAGAAAATGCTCGATGACCTGGACGCATACATGGGTAAGATCATTATTATTAATTTCCTTCATTTCCCAGCTGCTATGGAATGAATGTTTATGTTGCCCCAAAATTCATGTGATGAAGTCCTAATCATAATGATAGTATTAGGAGGTGGGGCCTTTGAGAGGTGATTAGACCATGAGGGTGGAGCCCCCATGAATGGGATTAGTGCCCTTATAGGAGGAGACACACAGAGATGATCTACAAACAAGGAAGCAGACGCTTCCCAGAACCCAACCACACTGGCACCCTGATCTCACCCCTCCAGCTTCCAGAACTGTGAGAAATAAATGTTTCTTGTTTAAGACTCCCTTCTCTGTGGTATTTTGCTATAACAGCCTGAACTGGATACTATATAGGAGCTAAAAGACGCGTCTCAGATGGCCACTGCCCACAGTAACTGCTTTTCTCTGTGAAACCACTCTTGATACTCTGTATCAAGGTTGGCATGTTTTTATTAAATGTCTTTTTTTTTTTTTTTTTTTGTATTACCTGTTTTTCTTTTCTTTTTTTAATAATTTTGTTTTTACTTTTTATTGATTTTTAGAGAAAGAGGAAGAAAGAAGGAGAGAGAGATAGAAACATTGATGAGAGAGAACATTGATTGCCCACCTCCTGCATGTCCCACACTGGGGATTTGGTCCACAACCTGGGCATGTGCCCTGACCAGGAATTGAACTGGCAAGCTCTTGGTTCAGGGGTTGATGCTCAACCACTGAGCCACACTGGCTGGGCTGTTTTTCTTTGTAACAAATTTTCTTCCAAGATCAGGTCCTTGTCTAATTTTGCCTTTATTGTAATCTCAGCAATGAATATGGTAAAGCACGTGGTAGGATCTCAGGAACTGAGAATTGCTTAGTGACAAAGGTAATGATGGGGATGATGGTGATCAGGGCCACCACAGTGTAGACAGTGACTTGAAAAAGCCCCACTCTGGGCAGGTACAGCCCACAGGGGACCTGACTTTGCCTTTGCTGGAAGAAAGAAGTGCCTTTTTCTGCAGGCAGGCACGACGCATGTCCCTGACAGAGAGCATGTTGGGGTGGTGCCTGGTATTGGGCTGAGGGGTGGGAGGCTGGTGGGGGAGGGTGGGGGGTACTTCCAATAGCTCTCAGACATCACAAAGCCAAAGACACCAACATGGCAAAGTCTGAGGTTCCTGCCAAGAGTTGGTGGGGGGGGGGGCATCCATTCAGACTAGGAGAGTACCCCAGATGGTAAGGACCCAGGTGTGGTTGCTGAGAACAAGGCTGGTTGTTGCTGAGAGAGGTTGCTAAACACCTGTATGTCCCAATGTAGGCTGGGGCCACAGGCCACCTGCAAGGCTGCTGTGCTGTGCAAATATATGTCTTGCTCTTTATACCTCATTATGGATTCTGCTTGTGGGGCTGAGTACCTTCATTTTCAGGCCCCCACAGAGCTTGCTGGATGAGCAGCCTGGAAGCCCACTGTCTGTGCCCTTGATGGCACTTGGGGGAGGCTCCACTCCCACTCCCTTCTGTAGTGTCTTGACCACAGTGCAAAGATAGAGTGACAGTTCCACAGTTACACTTTGGGCTAATGCCTTCTCTGCTCGGAGCCTCAATTTCCTCATCTGTCAGTAACGGCCAGCTCCTGGCGCTGTCTCGGGGTCAGGAGACATGGTGTCCACAGCTGGCACACAGCAGGTACTCAGCACATGTTGTTTCCTTTCCTTCCCTCTCTTTCCTAGCCCTCAAAACAAAGAGTTTATTTCTCAGTCTGGGAGAGAGACCAAAACTGCAGTTTGAGTTTCTGCCATGCCTCCTCTGGGGGCCTGGGTGCGTTCCCTCCTGGGACTTGTTTTCTTCTCAGGAAAGAACAAACTTCTTGTATCTCAGGAGCCAGTGGCCACATGGAGGACAGCAATCCCAGGCCTGAAGGAGTGGCTGCTGCAAGTGTATCCGTCACAGCCTGGAGGTAACTGAACTGAGGTGCCATGCTGGGACCCTTCCTGGGGCCCAAAGAGAGGGACAGACCCACCCTCCAGGCCCACCCCTCTGTATCATCCCAAGCCCTTGATTTTGAGAGAGATGGAGACTGAGGCCCACAGGGGGAGGAGGCCCACAGGGGGAGGAGGCCCACAGGGGGAGGAGGCCCACAGGGGAGGGAGGCCCACAGGGGGAGGAGGCCCACAGTGGAGGGAGGCCCACAGGGGGAGGAGGCTCACAGCGGGTCACACAGCCACTGGGCCTGGCCTCCTGCCTCCAGCCCTCCTCCCACCGCTCCAAGTTGCCAAAGGAATGAAGAGATTTCCGGGATGGGTCGCTGGGGTTCTGGGCCCTTCAGGCAGACATCCAAAGGGGGGGCAACCAGGGTTTCTAATAATAGCCTCGGTGCCTATAACAAGCTCTCACCTCAGAGGGAGGGAAGAGGCTTGGCTGGGAGGGAGGATGCTGACCTAGATTGCCTAGGATGGAAACGGAAGCTGGAGTCCTCTGAGATGGCAGCCTACACCTGCCGAGACCTATCTACCTTGACTCACAACACCAATGCTTGGGAACTCTCTGACTGGGGGCTGGGCTGGGCTAGGGGAGGCAGCTAAAGCTGAGTTCAGGAGTCCAGCATGTTTGGAGCTTCACCAAAGGGCCTCAGGCAAGCTTTTCCCTCTCCATGGGAGGCTGACTCCTAAGCCCCTACCCAGGCCGTGACAATGTCCTCAGGATCTGTGAAGGTAATCCTCACCAAAAGAAGCCTTCAAGAACACCAGAATATGGCTGACAGTTGGAGAAACTGAGACCCAAAGAAGGAAAGAGATTCTCACAGGGAGTTGGAGGAGGAAACAGGGCAGAGTTTTCTCTATTAAATACCTCACTCCCAGGTCTCATGCAAACCTGGGGCCTCAAAGGGTCCCCCTACTGCTGCCTCCAGCCAAACTGAGGCTAAGAAAAACCCAAGGGCTGGAAAAGGCCATGAAGGATTGAAAAAAGGGTTCCTGGGCCAGCTGGGAAACCCCAATTCAATCACAGGGGTCTTGTGGGAGCCCTTGCCTGGGCAGTGTGTGTAGTAGAAACCAGGCAAAACAATTTCCTCTCCAGCTGGTAGCCAAGATAAGGGTGTGTGTGGAGGGGTGGGGAGTCATCCATCTGGTCTCTTGAAATCTCTCTTCCTGCCCACAAGATTGGATAGCAACGTCCAGTTTAGAACCCTATCTGAGGCCTTCTAGGGCCTCTGACTACCCTAAGGAAAGTCCAGGGCCAGAGCCTGTCTGACCAGTTCTGGATCACCCAGAAGGCAGCCAGGCCCAAGGGGCAGTGGGGACAGGAGCCCTGGCCTAAGCTCCTAGGATGTCCAGTGAAAGCTGCACTTAGCTCCTGTCCCAGGGCCCACCCTGACTAGCCCCTGGCAGCTCTGCGACTCCCCCAAATACCATAGCCCCCAGGGCCTGGGCCTATGGGGGGACAAGGCTGAAGGCCTGGGGGTGGGCCTGGAGATATGAGCTGATGCCAGAGAAGGAGAGAGACTACTTCTCTGCTTTCGATGACGGTCTAGCGGTGAGTCCAAGACAAACAGAAGGTTGAGGTTTCTCAGGGACTGAGTGAGCCAACATGGTCCTGCATTTCCACTTGGGACAGAAACTAAGAAACAAGCCTGTCAGGGCATTCTGGTAAATACACCTCTACCCTTCCCCTGCAGTCACTCAAGGTGGCCTCTACCATCCCAACACATCACCGCAGCCACTGCCCCTGCTCAGCCCTAGGTTCAGACCCACATGCCAACCTCCCTCTGCACCTAGATGTCCCCCAGCGACCTCAGACCTGACCTATAACACAGAATCCTCACCCTACACCCTTCGACTCGCTCTGCTGCCGACCTGCCTGATCCCAGCTAAAAGCTGTCCCCAACAACAGTCAACGTCACCCTCCTTCAGGTCGCCTGAGAGCACAGGAGGGTGGGAGCCTGGAGCCAGGAGGCCTAGGCCAACAATCCTGCCAGTGGGGCAGCTGACCCTCTGATCCAGTTTCCTCACCTCACAAATGGGGTAATAAATACTGTCCTGTTTGACTAGCCAGCTAGGAGTGAAGAATCAGTGAAATAATGGGTAAATAGCATTTGAGAAAAGGAAATGCCCTATAGAAGTACAAGTGGAAGGGGAGAGCCTTTATTTGTTTATTATTATTTTTTTAATCCTCATACAAGAATATGTTTTTATTGGAGAGAGAGAGAGAGAGAGAGAGAGAGAGAGAGAGAGAGAGAGATATTAATTGGCTGCCTCCCACATGCGCCCTGACCAGGGATTGAACCTGCAACCTAGGTATGTGCCCTGACTGGGAATCAAACCCACAACCTTTTTGGTGAACGGGGCGATGCTTCAACCAACTGAGCCACCTGGCCAGGGTGAGAGCCTTTATTAAATGGTTCTTTGCACCAGGCTTTCACATAAAGGGTTTTACAAACATCATCTCATTTAATCCTCACAATTATCCAATGAGGAAGGTACTACTTATACCCACTTTGCAGATAAGAAACTGAGGCTCAAAGAGGCAAGATAGCACCAAGGTCACTAGGCAGTGTGGAACCAGCATTTTAACTCAGGTCTCCAATATGTCATTCTGGTTCCAAAGCCCTCAGTCGTTGCACTGCGCCAGGCAGGGACTGCCACACTGCTGGGAACCAAGAGTGCTAAGTGGATTCTGATCTAGCTCTGCCCGATATCTGCTGCATGACCTTGGACAAGTCATTGCCACTTCACAGTCAGCAGAAAGAATGCAAATTTCAAAGCAAAAGAGAATTTCTGCTTTGGAGTGATTCTGCCAGACTGGTGTAGGCACTTCTGTGGCACAGGTGCTCATGACACCTCTGACCTCAATTTGCCAGTGCCCCAACCGTCAGCATGGATGCTGCTAGCCAGGCTGCTGCTGGGCTGGTGGCTTCATATCCTGAGCCTGGGAGCTTCCATCAAGTCAATCAGCGGTCCTGGAGACCAGGAGAGCAGTAGAGCAGCAGTGAGCTGAGGGGGGAAACACACATCTGCAGAAGCTTCCCAGACCCCTGGGTGGGCTGTCTCCCAGAAAACTTCTCAACCCCAACACCTGGCCTGCCTGCCGCTGCTGCCAAGAGATATAACTTGAGTGGTGGCAGACACAAACTAAAACACCTGGCAAGATCACCTGCTATTTACAAACCGCAGCTGGTAGTCCTCTGCCCCCCACCCCAACCTCCTAGACAACTGCATTCAGCTTGTCGATGAGTAAGTTTTGTTCAGAATGGTGCTGGCTTACCCATTTTCACTTTTTTTTTACAATTTATTATTTAGTTTCTGTAGCCTGTGCACCCAGAGCCTCTAGGATCTCTTCATAGATTTTTGTATATATGCAACTCCAGGCTCTCAGTGCTTTCACTACCTAAAGCCTGGCTGCTGGAAACCACTTTGCCTGCTAGCACTGCGGGCGGGACGGCCCCTCAACCAATGGTTGGCAAGTAAGGGGATATAATAATTCTAACACCTCTGCCCTGGACCACGTTGCTCAGTGGTTAGAGCATCGGCCCATGCACTGAAGGGTCACGGGTTCAACTCCCAATCAAGGGCATGTGCCCGGGTTGCAGGTTTGATCCCTGGCCCAAGCTGTGGCATGTGCAGGAGGCAACCAATTGATGTGTCTCTCTCACATCCATCTCTCTCTCCCTCCTTCCATTCCACTCTCTCTAAAAAGAAGTCAATTGGAAAACCTCAGGTGGGGATTAACAACAACAACAAAAATTCTAACACCTCTGAGGCATGGTGTACACTGTCCCCAGAGCTCCCTATGAGACAGGGCCCAAGTCATCCTCCATGAAACTTTGCTTGGTATCTCCCCTTGCTTAGCTTCCTCCCTTTCCCTTTCTCTCTTCCTCAATCTTTTACAATATCTTCCTGGAAACACTTCCCCCTAAAAAATCACTTTCATACAAATCTTCATCTCAGGGTCTGCTCCCAGAAAAACCCAACCTAAGATAGTTGCCAACAAAATCTGCACAAAAACCCAGATTTATGCTTTTCATGTTCAATCTGTAGATCTAGCAACCCTAGGCCCATTCCCACTTGGCAACAAGTGGCTAGAGTTGAGCAGAGACTATCTGATACAGACAGAAGATGTGTTCTCCAGTTTTCCCCAGTCTACCACGTCCCCTAATGCCTTCCAACTGGCCCTTTTCACCATTCACATTCCCTGTCTGGCTCCTACAGTTTTATGAGTTTGCAACCTCTACAATATAGTGCAGTGGTTACCAGTGTAGGTTCACTAATTACTGAGCCTGTGACCTTAATAAACCCCTTAATCTTTCTGTTTCTCAATTTCCTCATTAAAAAATGGTACCTGCAAATACCTCTATGGTACCCTATATGGATGTTAGAGATTTAAATGAAATACTACCTATAAAGTGATTTGCACAGTATATAACACATGATATTCAAGAAATTACTAATATCTGTCCTCCTGGAGCAGGTGTGCCTGCTATAATCTGATAGCCCATATCCAACTATCTAAGATTACCTGCTGACCCTTCACTGCCCCTGGGGGGAAGACACCCTTCCCCCAAGAGGTTTGGGTCTGAGCACTCACCTCTTCCCACTGGTGAATGTACCGAATGAGGCGGGAGAGACGCAGAAGGCGCAGAAGGCTGAGGATCTTGGTAAAGCGGACGATGCGCAGGGCTCGGGCTGTCTTGTAGACCTCCGAGTCGATGCGCGTCTCCACAATGAGGAAGATGTAGTCCACGGGAATGGAGGAGATGAAATCCACCACAAACCAGCTTTTGAGGTACTTCATCTTAATCCGCTGTGGGTCCAGGATGATCTCTGTGTTGTCTTCTACCACAATCCCCGTGCGGAAGTTGAGGACCAAGTCGATGAGAAAGAATGTGTCTGATACCACATTGAAGACAATCCAGGGTGTGGTGTTCTCATCCTTGAAGAAGGTGATGCCCACAGGGATGATGATCAGGTTCCCCACCATCAGCAGCAGCATCGTCAGGTCCCAGTAGAATCTGCCCAGAGACAAAGGGGTCAGTTGCCAGGAGGGATAAAATGAGTCACAGACTAAGAGAGAAGCTTCGAGAGAGAGCAAGTGTAGGAGAAGACTTGGGAGGTTCTGTGACACTGCAGGAACCAGACCCATGGGGACCAAGGCAAGATGTGGACACTGACAGGGAAATAGGCTCTTCTTTCAGTAAGGAAACCCTCTGACTGCCCCTGCATGAGCTCCCTGACGTTAGGCCTCCTACCCACATCGCCATGCCCCAGTGGACGTCAGGCTGAAAAGCAAAGCAAACGATGGTATCCAGAGAGAAGTGCAAGGCTGTTTTAGCAGCAGAAGCAGTTCACCCAGAACTACCGCAGGCTCAGGCCAGGCTGTTCCATCCTCCCTGAGGGGCAGTGATGGGCTGGGACAGGCCGGCAGGCAGGCATGTCACAGATCATGACAGGAGAGCAGGGGAGGTCCAGACACACAGCAGGCGGGAGGCCCAGACTCCAGTCCCAGCTTTGTCACTGCTGCTGTGTGACATCAGGCAGGTACCCTCCCTGCTCTGGGTCTCAGTTTCCCCATTGTGCAGTGAGGGATGGAGTCTCAAGACTCAGTCCTAGAAATCTAATCTGGCTTCTGGGAGCACCCTTTGGCCTATACCCTAATGTCAGAAAATGCCAGGTCATCAGAGGTTTTTATTCTATCATGGAGTGGGGAGGGATTAGTTATATCTTCAACAGCAGGAAGCGTTAATGGGGAAATTTCAAAAACCAATGCGGTACCACTCAATGAAATGGAGTGAGAGCAGATGGGGCTTGCAGCATCACTTCTCCTGAGCCCTCAGAGCAACTGCAAGTGCTTCCTGAAGGAGGGAGGCGAAGCCTCTGAGAGGTTAAATAATGTGAGCAGGTAAGAGCCAACTCTCAGTTCTCCCACCTGGCCTGGCAGGGGTCCCTCTGCACCGTACAGACAGTGCAGACAGGCACCGACCTGTCTAGAAGGTATGACCAATCATTCCTGGGACCCAGACCAAGTACCAGCCACCCCAGGACTGGCCTCAAGACCAACCACTTGCACTGCAGAGCTATTTTCCTATGTTATTAATTTAGACAGTTACACGATGACAGATAAAGATATTAATCTTTATTAATTAATAAAGAAATAAGGGCAGAAATAAGGATGTCTTCCTCCAAGAGAAATAACCTTTCAGGCATCTTTAATTCTCCGTTGCAGGGAAGCAGGAGAAAGGACGTGAAAGACAAGAAGACAAGCTTTCCCTGAGTCTCCAGAGGGCTCCACCACAACCCTGCACCAAGAGTTCCAGGTTTGAAAAGAAAATTACTTGACAGCAAGTGGTTTTCTTTACCAGACTCAAATGGTGCTATGAGTCAAGGAGAGGGCAGGGCCTGCTTCACTGAAGGTGGGCAGACAGCTGCCCTACATCACACAGCTCAGGGAAGGGTGGTATCTCGAAAGGCTGCTTTTGGCAGCTCCTTTGAAAGTCAAGCCCTTCAGGGTCTCAAGATAGGACATCAAGTTAGAGACTCACTAGATTAGTGCTTCTCATCCTAAGACTAGTGACAAGAGGTGAACTTCAGCTCCTTCTCTGCCCCAAAACCCACCAGCCTTTTTCTAGCCCCAACCCACCTATGCCATCTGGGAGAACCCAACCTAAGACCTGAGAATACACTCCAGCCATCACAGCAGTGCACAGACCACAGCACATCCTGCTAGTGACTTGGGGGCCCCAGGAGAGTGGTTTCAGTGTCTAAGGGGTGTTCTTGAGCTGTGTACACTCTCTACCCAGCCTCATGCACATCATTCAAAGACAGCTGCAGATATTTATTAAATGCCACACACAGGTATCCCCATTCACACACAGTGCGCAAACACCCCTATCTACACATGGCCATCACCCCTTTTAATTTAATCTCTTGGGAAAAACAAAACAAAACAAAATACTGTGGCACAGAGAGGCCACTGGGGGTTCTGTGGTCCTCTGCATATAAAGCTAATAATACACCCAGGATGGAGGAGTTTCTAAAATTAACAGAGCTGCACAAGTGGCTGTGAATGTTGACTCGGGCAGGCCTGCCATTCCAGTGGGTTTCTACACTCTCCCCGCTCTAGTCTCTCAATTACAGACCAAATTCGAGACAGTAATTAACAGGAAAAAAAGTTTGCATTTAGTGGTCTTATAAAACTAAATTAAATGAGACAAAAACACCCATTTCCTTGCATTCCGACTAATTGCCTCAATCATGAGTTTCTAGATGCTAAAGAATATCTCTGGTACCTGATCTGGGCTGGGGTCAGAATGCTGGAGCACTCCTCCTAACATACCACTGTGCTGGAGCATCTCAGGTCTGCTTAAAAGGCAGCCTAATATGGCAGGGGAAAAGATGCACAGGTTCTCAGAGCCAGCCAACTTGGGTTCCATCATTTACTAGCAAGTCACTTAATCTATCAATGCCTCAGTTTCCTCATCTACTGAATGGGGATAATAACAGTACCTTACTAGCAGAATCATTATAAGAATTAATATTTGTAAAATGCTCTGACCTATGCCTAGCTATATTATTAAATGAATAATTAAGTCAACAAATTCACAGAAAAAAGGTTAGGGAGGAGAAAGATTTAATCTTCCAACGGAAGAGCCAAAGCAAAGCATCTACTGGGGGTAGGGGTGGAAGGAAACTCATAATGGTCCTGCAAGCGTCAGCAGTGGAAGTCAGTGGTTATATTCCATGAACATTAAGATGATAGAACCGATTCACTTAGGCAGACAGATGCCTTGATCTCAGGGAGCTTATGGTCCAGTCAGAGGACAAGGCTTATACAGAAAACAAGCTGTGCAATGATATAAGGATTCTACTCAGGCAGCAGCCCAGGCATCTGAAAAGTGGGCTCCTGGTGGCCCAGAAGGCTGAAGCTGGAAAGTGCTTCAGGAGAAGGTGAGAAGTTGGACTTTGGGAGCTGCCCTTGGCCTCACAGACTCTGCCAGATGGTTGCACAGGTCTCTGAAAGCAAAGTCCAGCCCAAGCGCGCGCGCGCGCACGCACGCGCGCGCACACGCGCGCACGCACACACACACACACACACACACACACACACACACACACACACACACACACACACACACACACACACACACAAAGGTACTCAGCACCACGGACAGCTCCCAGCGCACCAGACAGTTTCTCTATGCTGGTCTAGCTAGGGGAAGTTGGCAACAGCCTCCCCACTGGCATCCTCAGCTTCCTGGCACCTCTTCTACCCCAATCCTACTGACCAGAGGCATCTCAATGATGCCTTAATGTCCTTGGGATTTTCAGTGGGGACTCCTTGGTGTATGGAAAGCCTTTATTCCTAAAGACCCTCAAACACTTCACATTGAGTGCTTACTTTGTGTTTTCCATGCATTCCTTCACTGAATCCTCACATCAGCACTAAGGTGGCTGCTATTATCTGTATTTTACAAATGATGACAATGAAGTTCAGAGAGAAGTAAGCATCTCCCCAAGACAACACAGCTAGTGAAGGGCAGACCCAAGATTCAGAGAGGTCCATGGGACTACAGAGTCTGATCTCTTGAGATTTTAGGCACCTCAGTGGGATTCAGGAAGGTGGGCAAGCCTTTCTTGCAACTTTGCATCTACTGGGTAGGTGGCCTACCACAGCGGGTGCAGCTCCTGTCCCAGAGACAAGAGAGAAGAGAGGGTTGCAAATAAGTTTCAAGAGGCTCCATCCTCCTGATGCCAGAGTCATATGAGGTCCTTCTGGGGAAGGGGGTAGTGGTGTGTAGCACACCTTTCAAGTATTAAAACAATATGTCATTAGCAATCAGTTGGACCCAGCTGCAGCCATCCTGTAGAACAGAAAACTAAGGTCCACGAAGGAGGGAATGGTAATATTTTCAAAGCTTCAAGCCAGATGCCCATGCTCCCCTAGCACCACACTGCCCCTAAAATCATTCATGAACACATTCCACAGTTCAGGAATGCAACCACAGTGGTGGGTGTCAGGCTCTGGCAGAGGCAATGGACAGCCACACTCAAACATGCTGGAGTTGGCACATGTCTGAATTAGAGATGATCTTCTCCCACTGCAGTGTTCTCTAAGCTGAGAGGAAGTCTTGGCCAGTAAAAGGCCATACCCCAGGTTCAATCCCAGTGACCCCAGGCCCTTCCTCCCTTAATCCTGGACCTTACTTCCTACCTAAACCAGCAGGTCCACCTAGGCAGGCAGATGGCCTCTCCACAGGAGGACGTGGCCTATAGGCCAGCTTTGCAGGAGCATGTCCCATGTGCAGAAGGAATAAGGGACAGCAAAAAGCCCCATAGCCCTTTTACACTGATACCTGAAACATTTCATGGTTTAATCTCAGAGCAAGGGTATGGCCTCAAGGCAGCTAAGGGAGGAGATTACAAGAGGCTCCTGACTCTGAACTCAGAGACTCGAGGACCAGACCAAAGACCCTCTCCTTCCCTGGAGGCTTCTCTGGATGAGGGCAGAAGGGGGGGGGGTCCCAGAACAGGAATGACCTCCTTCAACCTCCTCTTGTCCCCACGTGTCCATGCTTGCCTTTGAACACATATGCTCACACACACACGCGCGCACACACACACACACACACACAAGGTGGGGTAAAAGTAGGGTTAGTTGTGAGGACGTGAAATACAGTTTATTCTGGCATTGTTGTTGTTATTATAATTATTATTACCATTATTTTTGGTTAATCCTCACCTGAGGATATTCTTCCACTGATTTTTAGAAAGAGTGGAAGGGATAGAGGGAGGGAGAGAGAGAAACATCAGTGTGAGAGAGACATATTGATTGGTTGTGTCCTGCATGACCCCAACCGGGGCTGGGATCGAACCTGCAATTCAGGTACATGCCCTTGATTAGGAACTGAACTCACGACCCTTCAGTCTGTGGGCCAACACTCTAAGCACTGAGTCAAACTGGCCAGGGGAATTCTGGCATTATTATTTATTAATTATTGTATTATTTTCCATGAGA